TTTTTCTACACTAATAGTGGTGTTTGCACTATATCACCAGCTGCGAAGATTGAGTATGATTTATATTTTTCTGTTTGAAGTGATTGAGATTTTAATCTTTATGTTATAGTTTCTTCACTTTAGCAACAAATAATTCTTCTATATATTTCCTTATTTGCCTTTGTCACCCGTTTTAATTGGAAAAAAGTCACTGATGCCAAAATAGTTTACTTAACGTGAAAGATCAAAGCCAAAATAGGGTTGCAAATAATTTTATTGATGTAAAATCAACATCGATCATTTTATATCAAGATACTTACAACCCCATTTTGTTTCCGATCTCTTACATATTATAATAAGAGAAAGAAATGGAATCCATAGTTTCTTTAGCTTTGGGTTCATCTAATAAGTGAAGTTTTTCGAATCGTTTTCTAATAATTTTGGATTATAAACATTTATTAACACACCACGATATCTTGTATATCAATTCGATATTGTTTTGCGGGATGTTTTGTCATAATTTATAGAATTTCTTAGTTCCTTGTTAAACGTACGATAACTGGTGATTTGACTGGTGCTGATATCAATTTGGAACTTCAAAATTCCATGACATTGATCCCGGAAAACAATATCGATCCAATATTTTAGGTTATCCATTTTCAAGGAGTTTAGAATTTTTTGAACTCTCTTCAATTAAAGAATTGGAAGACATTCATGGAATTTCTCTTTGTCTCCTTTTTAAGCTTCTAATACCTTCAATGGTCAATGTGAGCAATTTTCATTCATCATTTTATACAGTTGGATGGATGATTTTACAAATAGAAAATACGTTTGAAAAAGTACTTTATATAAAATACAAAATACTTTTTCTCAAAAAAGTATTTAAATGCAAAATAAAAATAAACAGTTTATCAGAAAATTAAAACGATCAAATCGAATTCATTTAAACATAAAATATACTAAAGCATGGTCACAAAATAACAAAAAAAATGTAAATATAGTTACAAAATATAGATAGGTTCCATTCATGTCTCAATTTATCCATTTTCTTGGGCTCCATCAGAATCCTGAAAGACAACACCTTTTTTCAAATTCATCAATCCATTTACCAAAATTTATTTCAGTTAAATATATTATAAATCGTAAAACAAAATCTTTATGTAATGTAGCGTTACTTCCATTTACATATACACATAACTTACCTGCAAATTATTAAAAAAATATGAACATGTATCAAGAACAACGAAGTTAATGTTCATAATAAAGTTTAACTTTAACTTTAATCGAAAGTAATATAATAATGGGATTCCAACTAATCAAGTTAATCAACTTATCAATATATGTACACTTTACGTACATAATACAGTAATATTTAGCAGAATTGCATTGAAAATTTATTCAAAAAAATCAAATTTTGTCTACTATCTTTAACGCTTTTTAACTAATTTATCTAATCATGCAAAAATGCCACAGTTAATANGTGGGTAATTAGTACAATATTAATATTCTACACTTTTAAACACAAATTATTAGTAGTGTACCCTTTTAAAAACAATTTTATTTTTTAGATAACTAAAAGTGATGGCCTTCCAGGTTTCATATGTTTAAAATGTTATGAGGTAGCTAATATTGCTTATACCTTTAAGCAGCAGTGTGAAAAGTCCGAGCATTTGTTAAAATCTGATGAAACTATCTTAGAAAAGGTTAATGCATTAAAACAACAAGAGGGGCGACTAAACGTCTTCAAAGTGAAGTTTCAAAAGCAGGATATTTTTAGTATTATACTACGTGAAAATTTCATAAAGCCCATAAAAGTTTCAGCATTAAAGAAGAATACCTGTAAAGATATTCACTTAAAAAAGTACATATACTATATTTATATTTACAGTTATTTGTTTATACAAATACTGTCTTCATTCGTTACAGAAATATCACTGTAAATGATTCTTTTGAGACAAGTCATGATAGTGATCAGTATAATGGGGAAGATAATGATGAATTCAAGGACTTGACATGTCGTTTTTGCAATTTTAAAGCAAATACTTGGAAAGTACGATATAAACATGAAATAACCCATGGGAAAGGAATTGACTGTTACCTATGTGGTAATGAATTGATCAGTTAAAATACTTAACATTTCACTTATGTTTTACAGGAAAAGAATTTACGTCGCTCAGAACAATGACAAATCATTTACTTCATCATAAACGTAAAGGTGCCTTTCCCTGTTTAACTTGCGGCAAAAAGTTTACCCTCCAAGAAAATTTATCAAAACATATGAAAAGACATTTAGGCATTCGTCCGTACTCCTGCGCTATTTGTAACAAGTACGCAAAACAATTGTAATTGCATAAATAACATTGTCTAAAGAAGTTATCTTTTTAACTTCCAGGTCGTTTACAGAAAGGAGTGAACTGAGAATACATTTAGCAAGCCACAGCCAGGAAAAGCGATTTCTATGTAATATGTGCGGTAATAAATATTCACGAAAGAGACTTTTAACAATGCATATCGAGAAACACCATCCCGAACCAGGAAAAGCTCTACTCCTTTGTACATTATGTGGGAAAGGCTATAA